CCATATTCATACAGTTCGAATTGACGTCCACGACCGACGAGTTACTTATGTCATTCTCGGAAATCTCTAGTGTCATACTAGGAGCTTCTTATTCGCAGAACGGCAAACTGCTCCTTTTTATAATGGCGATACGCTCACTTTTATGGGTAAAAGTAAGCAAACTCCTATGGAAGCAGCAATTTGCACATTAGAATATGAATATTTGTCATATTCCTTTTTATTAGAATTACCTCAGATCAATGATAATATAAATATGAATAACAGAATACCTATAATACTAGCTATGAATAAAATGTACTACCTATGATATGTCCATTACCTCTATAAATACATATGATTCGTTTTTTTATGAGAGAACTTGCTAAAATTGTTATAAGCGGCAACCTCTATAACAATTTCCTGAAATACAAATGAGAAAACGATGTTCTTGCGGGTACACTCCGTTATGCAAGGTGGAGTACTTGTGAAGTGAGTCTCGCTACTTTGCTCTTTCGTATATCAGCCACTCTTCCCACACAACAACAAAAGAAGCAGAAAGTGTACATACCATCAAATTAATATCTGTCCTTTTGCTACTTCGTAACGTCGCCTCCTGAAAGGGGGCCGGTTTGCCCCTAAAAGGTAATAGGACTCTTCGCAGCGAGGTTGCGATATGTAGCATGATAGATAGTTGGACTAGAAGAAGGAAATTGCCCTGGTGGACCTTCAGTCGACTTTCCTGAGTTCCACTTCGTCCACTGTTTTATGCTTGGGTCACGTTAGGGAAGGACATTTTACGACCCCTTTCAGACGCGTAAGAAATATAAGTATTCTGTTGATTATATGCACCGCTAGTATAATGATACAGATTCGATTCATGGATAACTCGAGATTCTAATATTATGTTGACATCTTGAGTTACCAATCCGCGAGGGGTTAATAGATTACAAATAGGTAACTACAAAACTGTACCAAACTACCCTAACTATAATTTCAGTGAGGAAATCCCTTTCAACTCGACAGTGAATTGAACTGAAGAAATTTTCTTGCGGGATCACCGAGCCAATAGTAGAATTCCTTCTGAGCTCTGGACCAGAATATATGATATACCACCTGTCATGTGCTGACCTGTTCTTTCTCTATTTTTTTCTCTCCCCGAACCCCCCCCCCACCTTTTCCCCCTTCTTCCACCTCGCGGAGATCGCGTGATAATATTTATGGCATATGCTCGAGCTGTTAAAGTTCAGTTGCGCTCCAAAGTGACTATTAGAGGCTAATCATTAAAATGTGGCATTTTTCATAACCTGAGACTTCATCATCAGCTCCAATCGCAGGCGTATAGTAGTAATAATACATATACCTCACAAATACATGAAATTAGCTCCTGAAACTGGCCTTGGGGCAGAAGGCTCCAGCTGACGCCAGCTCGAATAACTCACTCAACGAGCACTTACTAAAAACGACTGAGGTTACCCCATGAAGGTCGCTGTAAAATACTAACAAACTTGACTATAGCTAGCTGGGTGGAAAAATGGGGAAAAGTAGAAAAGGAAAAAGGGGGAGCAATAACCCAACTCCGAATACACATGTCGCTTTAGTGTCTTTGATGATTAATGGACGCGAGCTACAGCAATACAGTAAATTTTTGTCCTCGAGAATAGAGTCCGTGGCGTATTTAAAGAACATAATCATATTTTGATGATTCTCTATGAATAATTTCAGGCTGACATGAGCAGCAGTTGAGAAGTTTGGGCTGAACACATGAAATTGGGTCTTCACATTGTGCGTACTGTAGGAGAGTTTAATTAATGACAAACAGATAATAGGTGGTCATCGTCTATACAGGAGGTGGCCACTCGCACAATTACGTCCACGCCTAATATTGCTCATGGACTTGCATCTCATATCATTCCTAGATCGCGTCATCGGCAGAGGGGAAAATATCATCAAATTTGACGAGACTGCTTGGGGAACCATCGCCAAAACTGCTAGCCCTTTCGTATAACGCCCACGCCCACTGTCCCTCACCGACATGCAATTCATTCGTATATAAACTTGTATAATTAGTGAGGAAA